GAAGCTAGTTGAATAGCATGGGCAGTAGTATGCTCAGAAATTTTTAATGAGAGGGAATGTACCAAATAAAAATTGTGAATCAACCGTAAACCGACTTGTCTACCCGACTCGACAATGGGAATTAGTAATTTAAAAATCGGATCCTTGAAAGAGCCAATTTCTAATAAATAAATCGAGCTTTTCCTCGGCTGAAATACATGCGTTTCGAAATTTCATTACCCCTGACCTCCCCCTGCGCACGCCACTGAGCATGGGCCATCCTAGACCGGTTCATATTGTATATTTAAAAATCGTGACGAATTTGAAGTTATTTAAAAAAAAAAAAAATCGAAACCGTAATGCAAAATTCAAAAAACTCTAATCCCGAATCATAACATTATGTGTATACACACATAAAAATCATACAAATACTTATGAATCAAAAAAAAATAAAAAATTCACCCTACATCATTAAAAAAATAAAAATAATAATAAAAAAACTCGTATAATATTTCTTTCCTGCGTCCGCGTAATAATAATTATTGACCCGTATTCCTATAATGTATTTTTTTTTCTCAAACGGTTATGGAGTGCACAATAACTGCACATAACAATACATACGGGTACATAATATAAGCGATACCGACCTTACGTATTTATTTATATTTTTATTAAGCTCTTTAGTATAAAATGTAAGTTTGAAAAAAAAAAAAAAAAAGTACCTGTGCACTACCCGGTCCCGGGATCAAATGCCACCATTTTTCTCTGATTTTACTAGTTTTCTCTCTCTCTCTCTCTCTTTCTCTCTCTCTCTCTCTCTCTCTCTTTCGTATTATTATATAATATAAAAAGCGCTCCGGCAACCTTTTTTTCTTTCCCCGGCCACCGCACCCCCGCCCCGACCCCTTAACAATCTTTGCGGAATGTACATTCTCGTTTTATTACGGCGGGTAGCGTAAGATGGGTTGGTATATAAGGAACTCGAGAGCACAATATTAATATTTATAACGTCACGGCGTATATACTGTTCTCGGAAAGTTTATGTCCAATTACTTTCCCGCTGCACCGGCGGTGGCAGATAGGGGCGGGCACCATACAATGTACGACGTCAACTCGGTGAAGTGCGGTGAAGTTAGTTTCTCCACTCTCGGCGTATACATTGCCGACGGTAAACCGACGACGACAATGCTAATTCGATTGGATTAATGAGAGTTCATTTGACACGGTAAGGGTTGGTTTTTCTAATTGCGCTCCCCGTTCCTCGCATGCTTTTCGTCCGGATCGATCGAAATTCAAAGGTTCTTTCTTCGTTTGTTTGTTTTTTATTGAGCTTGTTTTTTTTTTCTCTCCGCGAGATAAGTATATAGGTATGTACACGTCATTTGTACGTACATATAATACAATATGTTCGTATATTATTATTATTATTATTATTATTATTATTGACGGAATGCTATGTTTTTTAGGTCGTAAAAGCCATTTTTTACAGTAAGTTGAGCGGAAAAAAAATAATAACAATCAAATAAATGTAAAAAATATTTATGAAATACGAGTGAAATAAAAAAAAATATAATAAAAAAAATTCGAAGAAAAAACTTAGCCTAGCGTAATAATAATATATAGGTCGTGGCGTATTGACGACAGGGTTTGATTTAAAAAAATCGGTTCATGACAAAGGCGAAACAATAATTGTTTTTATATTTTTTTTCGCCTTTGTTGTGCGCTATTATCCGATGATGATTTTTAAAATCGAAATCGGTCATGATAAATGCACAAACAACTTATACATTATTATAATAACACTCCGAACTATATTTTTTCTCCGTGTTTTTTCAATTTTATATTTTGTATTCAATAAATTATAATAATATTATGTACGTAAAATAATATGCATACTGCATCATATTACCTATATTTTTTACATTAATTTTTGATTATCCTAACATTTAAAATAATTTTGATTTTTGTCTTTTTAAACAATGTTCACGTGTTATATTTCTAAAAAAAAAAAATACAAGTACAATAAAAAAAAACTTACGGTATTTACTGCCGTCATTTCTTTCACCTTGGAACCGGCGCCAACATATGTAGCTAAATCTTGTTGAATCTAAAATACGTAATAATATAATTAGGTTGGAGAGGTTTTTTTTTTTTTAAGCAAAAAGTAGGTAATTTCATAAAAGAAAATAGGAAAGACACAAACAAATTAATAAATTGTAGCATTTTAATTTATTAATATTTAGCTTATATTTTTAAAGTTTCTGCGCTCCTGAACGGTTTGAGGGAATTTATTTCTTTTGGATAGACACATATTTATATATGTGTATTTTTTTTACTTTAAATAACAACTTTTCGACTTTTCGTTGACTTAACGGGCTGGAAGGTTATTTTTTTGTTTGTGAATGTACTTTTATCAATAATTGAGCAAAACACGAAAACGAATGTTGAAACGCAATAAATATCCATGTTAATTTAGAATTTGATTTTTTTTTTCCCTCCGGAATTCAGTGAAAAATAACCGTACGGACCTGACCGAATACCGGGTTTTAGGACTTTCTAGACACGATACAATTTTCTAAAGTATTGTAACATTTTTCATGCAATTCGAAAATACACATACGTTGTATTTACTACCAACACGAACATTGGCCTTTTTTTATTTAACAAATAACATTAGTGCATATAATTTAGAATGTTATACTCGTTATAGTTATTGTAAATTGATTTTTTTACACCATGATGATACGGCCAAAACCTACCTACATGTTTTTTTTAACCGGTTTTTACGCCCGGTATTTTTATACCTAAAAAATATTCATTGTATATTCTATGTAATTCATCATACTCCGGTTTTAACTATAGCTTTTTACATATCACCCCTGTTCTTTATTTAACCGTGGTGTATATTGTAACGGTGTGGGGCTAGGTTTTTTTTTTTTTAACTTTTCAAACTAAATTAGTTTTCGCCACTCGATAAAATAAAATACGTGGATCGGCTTTTAAACGAACGGCATATTATATCCAATACAGTATATATATTTAATTCTTGTGGAGTGAACTCTAATATTAATTCATTAATCCGGAACGAAATTTATTAAATTAAATGTCGAGTCGCGTTTAATTGTATCGCACGCGCTCACAATAAATTCGTAAAGATTTCCGCCGTAACCAGTCGGAAATTATAATGTCCTTTTGATCCTATATAATGCGATTATTCAATTCCTTAACACCGTATTCTAATGTAATAACTCAATAAAATATCGTGAAAGCGCGGACATTTATCACAAAGCTGAACGTTTAAGAGAAAAAAAAAATGAACATACAATTATTATATTGTTTTTAGTAGATACTGAACGTAGCAAGGTATCTATTGGTTTCACTATGATGTGTATTTTTCGTGATAAAAAGGATAAAATACAATTTTCGGTTAGTTAATAATTAAATGTTGTATCTTAAGATGATATTCGTACAAATATCGGGTATATAATATACTATGTAGACAATTCAGATTAAAAACATATGTTATCAAATAAGCACTTAAAGTGCTACAAGTATATAGTTACTACCTATAAAGTATATAAGTTTTTTTTTAAATTTTTTTTTTTGTTTTTTTTTTTTTCTAATGTGTTTATAAAAACCAATTTGTATTATTAACCAAACAGTCCATGCCGTATTTAAAAATTACCAAGGACATAGCGTGATTATGGACCGATAATACAATACGTGTTTAGTACCTCTATATCATATTATATACTTTCCTATATTTACTAAAAATAAATTGGAAAGATAAAGATATAATTTATTGGTTTTATGTGGATAAAACAAAATACAAGATAACACGTCGTTATCTAGGTTATCGTTTATCTGGGACCCAGGTAATCCCATTAATGACAGTCGCACTTAAAATTTCAAAAATAGTGCTTAAAAACATCAAAAAGCCCTGAATAAATGGTAGAAAAGTTTAAAAGATCCCATGTATATAACTGACAAATCAAATAAAATTGTCTAATACTTCACGAAAACGATTAGCGCCGAGTAATTTGTTTTGAATAATATTGTACGCATTATAAACAAAATCGACTTTGTGTAAATAAATTGTACGTGGTGTTAGAAAATTGTATTTAATAAGTTAGATTCTTTAGAGCGGGGGGGGGGCGGATTTTGAAACGTTTTATCATTTTTGCTTTTTTATGCGATATTTTGAGATTTTTCACGGTTTTTCTTTTTTTTTTTTTTTCGTAAATTTATGCGAACGCACTGAATTATTAGTTAATAGGCAATAATAAAATATCATACAATTATTTTAATTTCGAATTTCCGACGCTATCGCTACAGCAGCGCCGCGCCATTAAAATAAACTCCGATCGTACGCCGCCGTTGCCGCGGCCGGATGCGTTCTCCAAACTACCTATATCTTTATTACCTATATATCTTAACTTAACGTACCTACATACATATAAATATATATATAAAGTTGTTTGCCGGGTTCCTATCTAATTTATGTCTAACGTTTTAAACCTAACGCAATTACCGGTAAACTATATTATTATTATTATTATTATTATTATTATACAGGTATATAATAAGAAAGTTGTACAAGCCGAAAGGGTTAAGTTTGGTACGCGTATATATAAACGGGATTATGAATAATAGATAAAATGTTCCGCCGGTCTTTCGAAACAGTTTTTGACTAAATCCACGTTCCGAGGCCGAAAAGTTTAAAATGGCGACGGCGCGTGGCGCGGCGGTGGCCGCATTGGCGGTGGCGGCGATGGCGGTGACGGAATGCTGCGGTTTCCAACGTGCACCCGAAACCGTACACCCGATCAACGATTTCACGGTTTATCACAAACTACATCACCGGCGACGCATTTGGACGTTATGTTTCCCAAGGCAATATAGGAACGGACGAGGGAGTTTTCGGTTCTCGAATGATAAGAAACCGAGGCGACACAAATATATAACGTTGCGTTTCGTTCTTTTAGAATTCGAATGTTATCGCGGTAATTCGATATAGCTGATGGTTTCAATACTACGCGGTTTAAGCACAGAATAGATTAATTTGTTGCACGGTTTTAGCAAAGCAGATATTGTTGTTATGTTAATCGCGGTAGTGCTTGGAGCGTATCGCGCATACTGCACTCGGTTCGACAATTGGCCCACGATCGGCCGCCATTTCCGAGTACCGAGCACCACTCGAAATCAGTGTAGGCGCGCGCTGTTCGTTCCTTCATTATCTACGAATACATAATGATGATCTGTCTATATGCTACACGTTTCGCAGGTGGGAGGTCTATCTATGTTCTATAGGTTTCGCAGGGGTTTGAAGAGGGGGGGTGGAAATATCGAGAAATATTTCTTGTTTTTCTTCCCGGATATAGTGCTTGTTGCACATTAGTTCTCGTCCGAAACGCGGTCCGCTATTATAGGCAATAACATAGGACTACGGCCACTAGCACCGCGAACCGAACGCCTATTTTATTACTTTTAAAAAAAAAAAACGAACGCGAAAACACAACCGTGACCAACACCGCGCGTAAAAAGTCGCCGCGTCGTCTATTTATGTTCCGTTTTGTCGCGAGTGTTTCGCAATAATTTTCGTCCGGCCCACTCGGTACACTCACGCCGCGAGTGCCACTCGACTCGCCGTCATTTGACCACCTTGCGATTATAGTTTCGTATTGTTATATTTTCAAAGACAATTTTTTTTCTTTTATACATTTTTTTTTTTTTTTTTTTTTTTGTTCGCTTTCTCGCCCTTTGTACTATAATAATAAAAATATAACGAAAAACGTACACCCGCAACAGGTACGCGTGCACTAGCTGCAGTTGTGCAATTTCCGTCGTCGTCATCGGAATGAACAGGTGTGCAGAATGTATATATATATATATACGTGCCCGAGTGCATTTCTTCCACGGCTCATTTGTTCTTATTTGCCGGCGGCATACAACCGCACTACGAATCGCCTACCTCCACTCTATCGCCCTCCCCCTCCACCCCCCGTACACACACACACACACACACAGACATATACCACCCCTCTCCGTTATTACCGTGTCCATCCCGTGCACTTACCCCCAGTGACGACGCTAATGATAATTTACCCCGTTGCCAATAACACTTAACGCGTGCGCGCGCACGCCGCCGGTGGCGATGGTTTCCGGTCGGTAGCGACGGCGGCGGTGCAATACACACTTAACGACTGCTAAGTACCCACCAATACTCGCTCGATCTTCATGCGGGGGTATGAAGGGGGAAAGGAGTGGGTGGGCGAAGGTGGCGCTGATGGGAAAAATACTGCAATAATAAAATGGCACGTAAAACCGATGTGTACAAAAATAACGACGAAAACGTTTCATTTACGCCCGGCTCGGAAATCTCGTTAACCGTTCCGATATATTTATATATATATATATTTCATATAACTCGGTTCCACTTGCCGGCATTTTAAATTTCTAATGCGGTTTTTTTTTTTTTTTTTTTTATCGAAACCGATTTGCCTCTCGGTTTTAAATTCCGGGTATAAGATTTTTTTAGCTTCGTAATGATACACATATATTTTTTTTTTTTTACTTGGAAAACACTTATTCTGTTAGTATAAATGCTCCGATCTGTTCATACCATTCGTTAAAAGCTGATACCGGAACTTCCGCCCGACTATACTCTTTTCGAAACTTTTATCTAAAAATGTATTCTACGATTCACTATTATATGCTCCTTCTTCGAGTCTTGTTACTTTTGCTGATTCTGCAAGGTTACCTTGACAACAACGATGGAATCTCCGAATAATTATACATCTACGCTCAAAATAGATTTGCAAGTATAAACATTTGTCATGTTTAATCTAAACTACTGCTATATTATATCCTTCTTTTCACAAAAAAAAAAAATGATGTTTAAGTTTTGTTTTAACCCGAAAATCATTCCCGTACGCTGATAGGGTGAGTTGATATTTGACTTGAGTAATATTACAAATGGAATTTGTATAATACATTTGCTTTTTTTATAACACTTAGTGAAAACAAAAACAGTTCGTTCACTCGGTAAAATAAATTTGTAACACATACTATACATTTATTTCAATATTGAAATATCTTAGTTGCGGTATATTATTGCATTTTACATGTCAAAGTTAAATTATAATATTTCGGTGTGCAACCACGGCATATGTAAAACATACGCGTATTTTGGAGTTATTTTCGTGATTTACAAATCAGTATAGTGGATAGTAATAATATTTACAACGAGAATATTATATCGCGGACGGTTTATGTAAATCATGTAAATTATGATTATGTCAATCTGGCGTTGTATAATAATAAACAGGTAGGTAACACAGTAATAAAAAGCGAACGAATTCTGGTCGGGAGGGAGTGAAAATCTTTGTTTAGATAAGAAACAGACACGGGTTCGAATATCATGCATCAATTTTCCTTGAATCATATTTTCAGAAACATTATCATTGTAACAGAAATAAAAAAAAAAAAACACACACGATATTTATATTATATTTGTTCCATTTTGTGCACGTGCACATAATATGAAATAAAAAAAACTTTTCGCGAGTAAATAATATACTATACGAAAGGAACATAATATAATAACGACGTTTACATCATTAATCCCGAATTCCCGACGGTTTAAAACGCGCGGTAAATATTCGCAGGACGATTATTTTGTAACTAATATCATAATACGAAAATCTAGACGTATGAAAAACATCAAACATTTCACTGCGTTATTTTAAAATAAATAAAATATTTAAAAAAAAAAAACGTGGGCGTACGTCGCACCGTTGACCGGCCACTACTATTATAATTTAGGACGAAGCATGATTTAATTTTTTACTGAAAGTAAATCATTGCAATAAAACAAAAATGATTCTGAACGGAGTTCGGTAAACTGATAAGGTTATTGTATTTACCGTAAAACCAATTAAAATAAAACGCCGTCTGAGAACCTACAGAAAATGTTTCGAATAAAGTACAACCGGACGAAAAAAATCTTCATCGTTTGACGTGCGTACTGAAAAAATTCGAATATTAACCGAAAAAAACGTTTCCCGAAGGTTAGAAAATACACATTTTAATAAAATATTCATTATACGATGTGACCAGGATCTCTCTTCACTTATCGGTATTATTGTGTCGTATTGCACTCTTATCGATATTGATCATACAACAAGTGTTTCCGAAAATGTTACGTTCCATAGTTCTATTGTTTATTAACAATAGAACTGTGCACTGTAAATAACGAGAATGATAGTGCAACTCATACCGAAACCTTCTGTACGACATAACTTATTTCAGCCAATAAAACACAATGACAATAGTCGCGTTGTGACGAAAAACAATATATTTTGTACATATTATTACGAAATATGTTAATCAAACATCACCAGTCTGGGATTGAATCGTTTAAATAATGTCTTTTTATCGCCCACTGTTGCCGCAAAAGTGACAATATGGAATATTTTAAAGACATCTATTCTGTATTTTATAAAAATGAAAAACAAATTAACCTTTTAGAGACCGTTCGCACTGCCAGTGCGCGGATACTTACTGTAACAACAAATAAGGTTCACGATTGCAATACAACAAGCGTGCACAACACGATGAAAGTTATAAGACCCGTTCGACTTAACATTCTTCGTAAAGTTCAGCTAATCAAATTAATATTATTATGCACTTGTATTATCTTTATATAGAAGGTCATTATAACTTGATATCAAGCATTATTAAATTTAATGTTTCAACCGAATATTAACACAATTTATACGTGCATGGCATGTCAAAAGAGAGATTTTTTAATTATAACCAATTATATAGTTGAGACCAGCAATGCGAACAAACATTAGAGGCCAAAATACATTATAACTTGAACAAAGGTAAAGTTTAAACAAAAATTAAGGAGGAAAGTTTAGAAACAATATGGTACATATTGTGAAAGAGATTGCAAACTGACGCTGGGCTCTGTAGATTGATAATTAGAAACTTTTTAAATGTAGGTATACAATGCCAGTATTTTCAGTACATAAATTAACATAGAAATGTATAACAAAAAAAAAAAAAAAACTCCGGATTATTGCACGTGGTAATAAAAACCTATTGTCAATTAACGTTGCGGGAGGTAAAAAATAAAATACTCTGTTTAAAATATGTACATAGGTGCATACTTCCATGATGACTTGAATTGAATGTTTTACTTAACACAGCTTAAATTTAAAAAAATAATTAACAACATTTCCACTTATTCGCCACGACATTACTAGCTACACAAGTATATAGTACTAGTCGGGATAATGATGTATATACTTTGTTAATTTACTACTTTTGTCAAATATTCTTAGTTATAAAAGTTTCTTAAATCAGTTTATAACTTAAACTAAATTTTTCGACGTAGATTTAGTTTTTTTTTTTTTAATTATAATGTATAAATATTGAATAATAAAATTTAATTACCTATATAAGTTTATTATGTACTTACTTATTAGTTTAAAAATAGTTTTGGAGCAGCAAGGAAATTATTATCAATTTCCGCACAAAATGTGATACTTTATTAAATTTGAAATACTAATAAATATATTCGTTCAATAAATTCAGCAGAATGATGTAATTATAAAACACAAGTTTAAATTACAACTAAACAATTATCGATTAAATAATAATAAACTTTTTTTAATTTTGTTACAAACTTGTAAGTTTCATAACAGTATCTATTATTATACGATTACTAGTTTTGTATAGGACGAAAACCATAAACACCTTTCAAAAAATATACTGTGCAAATGGGTCGAGAGTAGACGTCCGAATATGATAACGATAAACGATTTTATGAGCTTTTTGGTAGCAAACTTGCGCAACCAATAAGAAGTAGACACGAGATTGGGTGCGGAGGTTGGCTCGTGGAGCTCTCCCTCGAAAGAAGGATAGCCGCTTACCTAGCATTGATTTTTTTTTAAACGTTGATTTATTTTTTGTATCTCAGATTCTTATCATTTTTCGGACCCTGCGAAAATAACTGGTTTGAGATAAAAAAAAAAAAATAGCCGTTAAAATTTAGCGAATTTTTATTAAGCGAATTTTAAAATAGCCGTTACAGTGACATAAATGTATAGAAAATAGGTATGAAAAAAATTAATATTTAATTGAAGATATGGAATTACCGTGCCGATTGTGATTCCTTATGGCGTACCTAACGTACGTATGTTGTTCAATATAAAATTAATTGTTTATGCGCCAATTTTCTAGAAATTAAAACGGTTTATACTAAAAAACTAATGATCGGATATGGAATTATGTTACATTAAAGCGTTTAGAATAATATATTTTACAAAATGGCAACTAGGAAAATTTTAAAAAGTGGACAGATAAAAGCTATCTGAAAAACTTAAAATTACTTCTCTAACTTCTCTAACTCTGACAAGGATATTAATATTCTGTTGGTTTAATAACTTCAATTTTTAACTTAATTAATATATTACCGAAAATACGAGGAGCGCAAATGCCCCTATTCTGCTTCTTGGATACTAATAGCTTTTACCATTAATACTATCTATAGTATAGTATAGTATAGTATAGTATAGTATCAATGAATTTATAAAATAAAAAATATCAATTCGTACTGCTAAATAATTTGATCGTGTTATCGGATATTAAAACGTAAAGACATTTATTTAATTTGATAAAACTGTTGAACTTTGATTAAATAAATGTTCCAAAATTTGAAGATTTTTTGTCAAATTTTCGTCCGAAACATAAAACAATTGTAGTTTGTGAATACTTTTGGATGATCCTATTGAATCAAATAAGCTATAAAATTCGGCGAGTGATAAAAGCGCTACAAGTTAGGTTGAATTTCAATTTAAGTTTCAACATGTTATTAAGGGAAAGGGTGCTTTTTAGGCGTTCAACATCCTTACAGCGTCCCAATTGAAACTAAAAGGAAGACTATTTGTATATGCATGGCGATGACGTTGGTATCGATAATGTGCCTTTTGGGTATTTCAACTTTTAAAGTCCGTTCCTTACCATTTGTAAGTTTAATTTTCACAATATTTTGTCTTTGTTTTTGAAGTAGTAAAAAGTTGTAGCATACAATATGTATTATGTATATATATATATATATATATAGTATTGTGTCAGTATAGTGTTTGGTTATTTATTGTTCAACAAAGAATATTTTTTTAGTACGAAAAAGGTGGGGAGAAATTTGACTCTGTAGAGACGAAGCTCTTCAGCTCACGGGCGATTTTTTTAAAATACGTTTATAAATAGATGATTCAAACACGGTGATTCATCGCGAACATAGCACACGCAATAGTACTATATGAATAATTACCTTGTTGAATACGTAGTAATAATCGTTTTAATAATAATAGAACATAACCAGATTTTCCAAAAGAAACTTCCGGTTGAAATCCTATTTATTATTTCTTTTTTTTTTATTCAAGGTCGATATTATAATACCTTCTATTACACCGGTGTGCGCTCGTTAACTGACACATTGCTGTCGACAACGAGCGTAGAGCGTTTTCAACAGGAACTCGAATTCCTACGTAACCTAAGATCCCTGAATCCGACTTTAGTATTAAAAAAACAGAAAGAAAAAAAAACCTAAGAAAAACGTAGGGAGTATAGTTTTGTTTTTAGAATGTGTTCGGCGAACGTCCAAAATATTTTATATTATTCTCTCTCACCTTAGATGCCTTGTCTCGCACTTATGGTATAGG